CTTAGTGTACTGGTAGTTTAGTGGTGGAATTCTCACCAGCCGCGTGACAGGTTAAGGTTCGACTCGTGGATTACACACTACTAAAAGCCTGGCCCCGTTAAGCAACTGTCAGTAAGCCTAGAAAAGAGGAAATGTTGTGATTTAGGCTAGCAACTTGAACCCTTGTGAACATCACCGCTACTGAGACTTCGAAACTTGAAGCCATTTATTCCATTCGGAACGGAATCAAAAAGATTTAACCTTCTCCTAGGGTGTGCAGTTCATTAAATTTATAATTTCTGTTTATAATTTAAAAGAGTTTGAAATGCATTACCCAGAACAACAGGTAATAATTTTACATTAGAGTTTCTTACTGATTAACAGATGTTAACATCAAAATAGTTACCTGTACTGTCTTACTCAACATTTTTTTTATTCAAGCGTTTCAACAGTTAGTGACATTTTTGTTTTACTGCATCGGAAAAGTAAATCAAGTTTCATGTGTATAAGCTCAACACAAAATAAAACGTTATTCCTAACAAAAGAACACGCGTCAATATTACTTTCTCTCTGCATAAGCTTCAATATCAACTAGAATATTTATATACCAGCTTATTAAATAACTTAAAACGCTGTAAATTACCCTGCCTAAAAAGCGCACAGCTTAAATTAGTGATGAATAAGGGTTGAAAGTGCTGAGCAAATCAACAGAATTTGAATTTTCATCAGCTAACTAATCGATTTATTCTTACAGATGTACAATGACTATGCTGCAGCTGCTTGGATATGGTGTAAACAGTTATGATTTTCTTGTCTTAGTCGAGATATCAGACCACATTTTCGGCACATTAAGTATGTTAGAAAACAAAAAAAAACAGTGTTCCCACTATTGCTAGGTTTTTTTGCATGAAATAACACACCTGAGACTACTGTTTAATAGGACACAGTCATTACTATCCTGGTGAATATGTTCAAGGCAAAGATAATTCACTTTCTCACTGTTGATAAAACGAACAAATAGATAAATCTGAATGAAGACAAGCGAAACATGAAAGAACTAAATAGATAATATATATACAATTTTCAACGGGATTTATTTATCTATGTGCTTTCATTTATGTATATTTGTCGGCAATATGGTAAATTCTGTTTTCATATTACTTTTTATTCAAAAGAAATGACACACCAATTTCCAAGATGAAAAGACATTTAGGATTGACTTAAATAAATAATGTGTGATTACTGTTAGTACACATATAAGCACATGTATCTATACATTTAAGCATACACATACACACAAGCAGCCTGCCTATCTATTGACAGATATCATATCCATATGTGCAAAATAAAAGAATGGATATATGTACTTATTACTTTCTGTTTTATATTTATTTGATTTCATCATCAAATGTTAAAGTAATCACGTATTATCCTCATTTGTGACATTATACCTTGATTTCTAATAGAAAAAAAAATATAAAAAATATCATTCTTTTCACTTCTTATTTCTTCTATCTTTCGTTTTAATCCATCCGCGTTCACTGTGTCAAAAGATGAAAGCATCCATGAAATGCCGGTTTATATTTATGCATATATGTATGCAGATAAATTTTAATTATAAAAATCCAATCATAAAGTCATTTTGCAAGCGTGTGACAAAGAAAAAGGCAGTGGAAATGAAGAGTTGTGCAGAGATGTTTTATCTTGAGCTAGTCTTTTAGATTTTTCGAATAATTAAACAACTGTAATAGTTATTATTCACAGTAAAAGCAAATAAACAGCATGAGAAATGGATCTATACTAATTCAGGTTTAGCAACAAAAGATTTTTCCTGTTGAAAATAATAATCACATACCTCAGGTAAGCCGAAAAGCGAAAACAATATCCTCAGAAATTCACAACTAATGGATCTGTAATTTGATTCAGTTGTTGATTAGGGTTTTATTGGTATTCACCAGATAATTCACCAAAACTATAACTTATTTCAGTTGGTGTTGTCTAGCAGTCAAATCCAGGGTGTGCATTTTGTCAAAGTTCGGATTCGTCAGTTAGTTGTACGTGCAATTCCAGTGAGTGATGATGTTGTTCCCACTGAGACTAGATCACTACACCTATCGTTTCTATCTCGAAAGCAATACCATCTGGCCACGAGGGTTGAAAGAGTCACCCCTTGTGCAACGCGTGTTAGCTGTTTGTTTGTTTTCAGGCTCACTCCGTATTTTATGACAACTGATTATTGTTTGACTAAAATGGTTAGTATCTGTTGAAATGAAAAGCAAATAATGACTGATACCCTTTGTGAAAGAGATGGCCCTCGTAACCCTGATAGCCTAGTAGATAATGTTTTGGAGTTAGAAACAATGGGTTCAGAGTCAGAGTCTGAGTGAGAACATCATCATCACTCATTGGGAACGCAGGTGCATCTAACTGATTGGTTCAACAATTGGTGAAACGCCCACCCTGAACTCGACCGCTAGTCACCATCCACTAAAATAACTTCATGTTATTTCTTAAATATTGTCGAATTGGCATGTTAACAGAGACTGACCATTTCTTCAGTCCAAAATAATCAGTCAATGGAAACAAAACACTAACTTGAAAACAAAAATTTAAAGCTTGTCTCATTGGCTGGAGAGTTGCATCTTGGAAAAGTTTGGGAGAAGGGACTGTATATGTCATTAAAAACATCAGGTTTGTTGTTTCCATTGTAAGTAATCAAAATAGTTACCCTGAGGTGTTAATTTAAGATTACATCTCAAACAGTTCTTTTTAAAGATTTTCTGTTCTGACTAATTGATATAAATGGCTTTTAAGACCAAATAAACTGTATTGTGTCAGTTTCTGTAGTAATTTTCGGTATAGCATACGTCTGATAAGATTATCACAGTTGTCGTGCGAAATTAATTTTATTCCAATGACATCTCGCAGCTCCCTTTAATCTTTGTATTAATTTCCAATCAACAGTTATTAGTTTTAGACAAGTACAATAACTGAAATCGTCCTCTTAGCCGAACTAAATAGTTATCACTGAAATTATAGTGTGTCGCCTCATTTTATTATTTATATGGCCATATAATCAGTTTCTTCACAATTAATTATTTCAAAACAGCTTATAGTTTATAACTCTAACCTACTTTTCACCTTCCACAGACTGAAACTGCTAAAATGGCTAACTGCAGTGACAATTTGCTCAACTGCAAAATGTTTTCGTTGTTTTGTGTTTGACAGTTTCAAGCAATTACCCTAGACAGATGAAATTTTAAATATCTTTTAATACGTTTTCTACAATTTCATTAACAGTTCATTCACATTTGGTAGTGAAGCTAGTTTTATTTATAATATTGTAGAGTATCATTTAACCTATAGGTCAAACAATCAATTTCTGTGTGGCAGTTTTCAGCTAGTATAATTAACCCCTTGAGTTCTGAGTGAAACATAGATTTCCTGCAACGTGTTTTCATTTTGTATTGCTTTCTGTTGTCATTTCTAGCCAGCAAAATGATGGCCCATAAGCTCTCGCCTATTCTTCACACAGTCTTTTCTCCATGGCACTATTGGACGCCAACAAAAACTGTAAACTGACAAGTAAGAATTTGAATACAGTTAGAAAGAAAACCTGAATTCCATTGACGGCTGGAATTACATTTTGACAACTAAGTTGCATTCTTATATTGCAATACGTAAACGTCATCTGGGTATAGTGAATTCTTAAAAGTGTTTTGTATGCATGACAAAGCTGTTGTTTTCCCGTTTCTATACGTGGTGACTGTTTCGCGTTTAGAAGAGTTATAAACTTGACTTTATTTCAAAAAGCAGTCATTCTTCACTTCTTAGTATGAGCTATGTATAATTTGCAGTCGTGAAAGTGATACTTTCAGCAACAGTAAATTCTTCTTGATATTACTGTCTGAGGAGTTGTCTAGAATAACTTTTTCTCACCACAAACTAACAAAGGAAAACACTTACTCGTCTATATGTATGTATGCGGCATTGTTGAAAAATTAATGTCTTTGATTAAAACTTGCTGGACAGTACATGGAGAAAAGTACTAAAGTTAGGTGACTACAAACAAGCACCAAAGAAACACATGGAGATAGACGCAGAGAACCAATAGGTTTGAGTGAAACAACCGTCCATGTATAAATTTGGAATACGATTGTTCAAATTCACTAATGACCAAATAACAAGTGGCTAAGAATTTGCACAAAAAAGTGTTTAATTTTCAAATGCGTTACGATAAATATTTTTGGTGTGTCGGTGGCACAGCGGTTGGGACTTTTGCCAACCATGCACATGGTTCGGGGTTCGATTCCCTGCCGGCGCACACCTGATATCAATGGTCAACCCGCAAAATTTGGCTACCGATATCATATGCTGAAAATTCGATACTTGTACCAAAAATACGGTGTAGAAACAAGCTATAATCAAAAATAAAAGATAAAATAAAATATTTTCAGTCAAGTAAAGTAGCATATGACATGAAAATTAGATTACTGTTGACATCAGACATGAAAAAGTCATGCATCCGAGTGACTTTAACTAATAACAGTTTTCATCGTTAGTAATAACAGTTATGAAATCACTTGGCCTGATGACCATTGTACAATCTAAAGTATCAAAGTTGACCGAACACAGGAAGATTTTCATTCCTGTAATGAACTAGACTTCCTTTCTGGTATTACTTATGAAAAGTATATTGTTGAAATGCACCACTGGTAGGTCTAACAAGTGCAGTTCTACAAACCACATACCATATAACTCAAACAGAATACTTCGAGATATCCAAAATATCAGTGGTTCTGGATCGTTCAAAGCACTGCTCTAAATGTTTGTTTTGTTGTTTTTCAATATCATAACTTCTAAAGAAGTTAATGTTGTGTGTTTGTATAAATTTGTCTACAAACAAACTTATATTTAATGTCAAAATATGTACAGTATACTCCTATTTATTTTCAAAATCTTCAGTAAATTAGACAAAAATTATTATGAATACATTTCTACAAAATAAATGCTCCACTGACCTTTATTCTTCATATTTTTGCTACTATCTTGTATAATTCCAATCATTTTCTTTTAAAAAAAATTATTTACATAAATTCATTAAGGATTACTGTTTGTTACTGATGCAATAAACAATTTTCTGGGTTGTTTTTTTTCAGCAGTAAACGTGTCTCTGTGAAGAATTTAAGTGGACTTCGGTAGAAACCAGAAGATAATACCGACATACAATTTTCTAGGTGAAATACAGTATGTGTGTAATTTGTCTTTAGATGGGATAAAATATTATTATTATTATTTTAGCTATAAATTTTTATCCAGTTGAGTGCAGTAAATCTAGTCTACATTTGATGGATACGTTGCTACTTTTTTTGTCTTCATGTAAGAGTTATGAAAAAATTAAAGAAACGAAGAATTATTCCACTAATTGTAATAAATATTCATGATAAATAGTCGGATGAGTGAAATGTTTTGAAAGGTACAGAAAAATTATTATTATCTACGGTAGACGTCTAAGTCATGTATTATATATATATATATATATATATATACTTTGCTTTCTTTGATGTGTGCATATAAATATAATATAGTAAATTAGGTGAACAAATTTATACGAATTGGTGATGAGAGTATATTTATTTGTATGTTCATATATGCGCTTGAAGATGATTTGTGCACATAGCATAAATAATACACACGTATTCCTAAATACAGGTAGAGAAAGATGTGTGTACACACATGTACTATGTGCTTGTGTAACAATACAAAGTTCAAACTCTCCTACTGGCCCAAAAAATGCACCCAGTTATTTCTTTAAACTATAATGATCATAATGATTGTGATGAAGATTTCACAATGCCGGTACAAATAATAATTGCAACCTGTTCTCTTTCAGTACCTCTCGAAAAAAAATGATGTTGTGTTGTATTTTTTGTTTAATCATATTCACAGTGCTTGTTTGTTTCTGTGTTTGCGTGTATGTATCTGTATCAAGTTACCCTATTTCTTCTATGATGCCAGATGAGATGTTATACTTTTCCCCAAGTGTTTGTTGTTCAGTGCATCTGCATGCGTGCCCATTTGTTTGTGTGTGCCGACAATGAAATGTTTGATCTTTGCCAACTGTTACCGACTAGACAATTATTATGGTGCTTTTCACCCATGCACTAACCCGCTGCCACCCCAGAAATTTACTTTAATCCCTATAGTACCACACAATATGCCCAGCATACATAATGTGAAAAGAATTTATTTAACCAAATCTTCAATCATTTTTTATTTGGTTTGATACAGAGTTAATTAGGGTCAAGGTTCGTCAATGTTTGGTAACAAAATGACTGGGCATCTCTACCATTTAGTACACATACTTCCTCCCTGTCTAGCACATATGCACATGGAGAAATGCACATAAAGCCGACATATGTATGTATTCGTATTGACACCAGTGAATACTTCTGATGATACAAAAACTCTCCATTTAACATATTAAGAAATAAACAAATTTAAACAAATGAATTAATCTCTTTTTCAAGAAAAATATACTAAATCCTTTAAAATTTTAAAGAGAAAAAAGAGCAGAATTTATTTGCAGCAATTCAATGGTGCATATTTCAATATTTGAATTCGTGTTCCAGTAAACTGACTTCAGGACAGATTCTGCTTTTTCCTATTTACAAGAATTTTTTCAAGAGATAATACAGTGCGGTAGATGGATCGCTTTAGGATTAAAAGTTTAATATAATGTAAAAAGGTAGTCAGTGATGCATAATGCACTGAATCAGTCAACATTGATGGTCTTCAGTGGGTATAATCTACGAAAACATCATTGTTACGTCACAGACATCACGTTCGCGGTACTATTTACTTAGTAAATTATTTGTATCCATCCAAATACTAAATAAAAAATCAACCTTTTAATTACCACAAATATTGTCATATTTGAGGGCATGATCTATTTCCTTACATAATGTTTCTCGCAGATAAGCCAAAATTATTAAGTTTCATAAATTGGAGAAAAAAGGTTAATCAGTATAAAATTGATTATTTATGCTTAGCCGTACCAAACAGTTCAGTCAAAATCGAGAGAAAAGTTTCCTTATTGTGATTGTAATGTCGTTGAGATAACTTTGGTTTAATTTAACAAATATAACCTTTAGTGTCTGATTATCGTGGTTTGGTTTTTAAATTGTTTTTGCAAACTATCATAGTAAAACTTTGGATGACCAAGAAGGTGAATGCTTCCTTTTATCAGAGGTTAGCTATTTCATACTCATATATTGGTGGTTTATTGATCATGTGTTGATAGTGAAGATATGGATTAGAAATTAAATGAATTTAGGAGTGTAAACAAACCTATAATTCCAGTTTAACTTTTAACATACCCTGTAATAGTAGGTTTTCATGATTTACTTCCAATTAACGCTTAGCTGATTTCTGGAATGAGGTAATAAGTATTAAGCGTATAAGAACAGAACTTGTCTGTTGTGTTGCAGTATGATTCCATTGTGGATAAAATTGATTTTAATAAAGTCTTACAGTGATATTTACTGATGACGTTTCAATAACAATTTATTGCTCATGATCATATCAAGTCACTCACAAAACTATGAGCAAAGATTCAGTGATCAACCTCTCTCTTCAACTACCTGTATTACTTCTCAGAATTTTAACCCTCTCCCACCCTATTACATGGTTGTGTATCAATACATGCAGTGCAATCGCTGAGCTTTTCTCTAGATTACTCATCTTGGTGGGGTCAATCACTCTAATCTTAGCTAAATTCTTATGTCCTGACAATCTGACTGCCCCCGATCTACGAGTGTGACCTATGTAGTGGATCTTAAAGTCATTGCGAGGTATTTTGTATATTATATTATTCCTCTAATTGGGTCAACAGGGTTCTTTAACCTACAGAGCTTGTCCCATTTGAGTGAGTTTGCAGGTTGAAATGCCACCCTAATTCCTGTTTTACTAAGAATCCTACTTAAGGTTTCACATATTCCTTGCTTATATGGTAATAGTGTGGATGCCTTTTATTTTTTCTTATTTATGTTATCACTATTATTTTCCTCATTATCTTGATAATTTTTGATAATTATTTAACACTAAGGCTTCTTCTATCTGTTTTATTTCATCGGTTAGGTTTATTGTCGTCCTACTTAGTGCTATTACTCGTACGTTAGATACTTAAGTCAGTCTGCCTCTTCATATAACGGATTGGATCAAATAAAGTCTAAATGTCTATTAGAATGCGTTGGCTTTTTATAAACTCCAGTGTTCAGATTACCTCCTCCCGATCGCTTTATTTTACAGTCTGACAGAGCTGATTATCCATGCTTATTTTCCGATTCAATTGTGAATTTTATTCCCTCTACTTGTGAGTTTATGTGTGTCAAGAAGCTAGAGATATGTTCTTTTTTTCAACACTGTGAAAGTGTCATCCACATATCCCCAACATATTTTTGGAGTAGGAATAAATGTATTAAGAGCTATATTTTCCCTGCTATCCATACAGATATCTGCTACGATTAGGGATACGGGTGATCTCATTGCTACACCCTCCGTTTGGTTACATATTTTTCCATGGAATTTAAAGATAGCAGACCTGAGGCTTAACTGAATTCCTACATTGGTTTTCTCAGTGGGTAGCTTTGTCCTATGAGTAAGTTCAGGATCAATAGTGAATTCTCTTTTAAATACTTCTAAGAACATATTGTTTGGAATTTAGTGTAAAGACTAGTTGTATCAAAACTAACCATTTTTCCATTATTCTCTAATTGAATGTTGTTTAGTCTCCTTTTTATCTCATATGAATTAGTTAGCCTAGATTTTGAACGAGCTATAATATTAGAGCTACGTGTCTCGATAATTCATATGTAGGGATATTTCTGAAATCTTATACTGGTCGTATGGGGTAACCTGGTTTATGTATTTTTATAGAACCACATATTCCACTAGCATTATTAGTTTTAGGCATTAAATTAACCCAGTGACAGCTTGATTCTGCGTATAAGTGGACACTTCTAACCCACAGAGCTTGTCCCATCTGAGTGAGTTTGAAGGCTGAAATGCCACCCTAATTCCTGCTTTACTAAGAATCCTATGTAGGGTTATTCAGTAGCCACAAGTTAAAAATGCTACCTATTTACAACAACTCTGCTCACCAAAATCCAATTCAAGTACTGATTTTTAGTGATTAAATTTAGTGACATGCATCATGATAACTGGAGTTTTTCTTGATTAGTAGACTGTCTGAAATAAAATTCTGTTTCAATTTCTAGTTTTACTTCCTAATCGATGATCATTGAAACACTTGATCTAAATGTCAGGAGAGTTTATCAGCGTGTGGATCAGTCGCTGTGTCGGAAAATTATCAGTAGTATTTATTTACTGAGATAAGGGAAACTATAAACACAGAGATGCAAAGTAAAGATTCATAATTAAAAGCCTACCTAGTCAGTGATCATATCTCATGAAGCCATGATGCTAAAGACTTGGAGTTAATTTTTCACATTATTTAAATTCTACATTTTACCGACACAAATACAAGTTTCAATGTTTATAAATGTCTGTGTGTGTTCAATAAGTGTCTCTTTGATTTAAAAATTCTTTCCATTAATACCTATTCGACTGGTAAAAATTAAGTAGCTCTTTGTTCTAACGAGTTCAATCAAGATAGAGTTGAATTACCTACGATGTGTGCTAAAGAAGTAAGCTTATCATGTTCCTTTGTAAAAAATATATATTCATACTTGATTGGTAGGTTTCAAAGTCAAAACTCAGGCAGTTGGTTCAGATAATAACTTGTAGCAATTATTAACGTGATATAATTTGAAACAGGATGAATAATTTACTAAAATATTTCACGCTACAACTGTCGCAAATAGTTTTCTCTTAGCTTTCGGAAAGCAAATATTTCTCTGTGAATTATTGATATAAGTCAGCGTTTCATCATCTGTTGACAGAAAAAAATGGGTGATCAACCTCTCATCAAGGGAACTAAGCTCTAGTGAGATAAAGGTGCTTGAAAAAGGACTAAATTTCTCTGTGAATGTCTGCTAAAATTCATTTTCATTTGACAAGATTAAAATATAGCAGCCACCACCAGTAACTCGACTGTGTAACCTTCATGTCATGTTGTAGCAATCATGGACATCTTTCTTCATTAGTTCCATGCACGCAAAGTTCTTTAGTCGACCCCAAAACTCAGTCCTTCCCAAAAAGAAGGTATCTTGTGAAGATCACCCATCATATAAGTGTTTTAGTAACTCTAAGTAGTACCTTATTTACACAATGATTAATCACTTGATCTTCCTGGGACTCATTATGGGAATCTAGATAGCATAATTTGATTCGAGTATAACACCTGTAACTCTAATTGTTTATTGGAGATTATGCATTGAGGAGTTGCTATGGCTTAATTTCGTCTGACAAGCCTGCCAAATGCCTATTGCTCACTTAAATGGATAGAGTCATTTACATTAAAATGTCGCTTGAACCATTC